TTATTATTATTCGGTATTCAATGGCATTTTTTCCAAGCTTTCTGCACATGTTCAGAGTCACCCTGTTATAAGTGAACCCTGCCACTTAGAATCAAGTCCCTCAACTTAAACCCTCCACAGCCTTCCCAAAAGGCTGGTGTGTTTCCTGGAGTGCTGGACTACACGCCCCATCCACAGTCAGCAAAGCTAGTTGGGGATGATGGGACTGCCAGTGCACACATCTGAAGAGCACCAGATTGCAGGGGTGCAGGGAGGCTTCCATGACCACTTGCTGAAGGGGAAACATATTGTTGGAGTGCATTTCCAAGAATCCCCAGGTTAGTAGTGCCACTGGCTAGGTTAGCTGGAGTGTTCTGGGAACAACAGCCCAATAAATAACTTTTTCTGGCTCTGAAACCCTAACAGCTCTGACATTTTGCAGAATGAAAAAAGAAATCTCTGATTCATCCCAAGTCCAGCTGCTGTTTGAATCTTCCACAAAGACTATGGTCCATGGATGAACATTTTCCTCTGTTTTCCATGCGCTGGGTTCATTTATCATGTATTCGCCTTTCCTCTGACAGTTTTAAAAGTCATGGGGAGCCGGCTTTTGTTCTTTTGGCTAAAGATACACCAGGAAAACCATAATTTGCTCTGTGAGGGGTTATCAGCTATTCCCAATATATGCCTCACCAGCTGCAAGGCGTGGAAAGACAAGCTGTGCGCACCGCATGGTGCTTTCATGTTCGTGTATTAGGGCTTGTTGATGCTAGAGAAAGGATGCATCCGCTGTCTTCACAATGAGATTTGCTATCTGGAAACGCCTTGATTATTGAATGTTGGACTATGACTCTGGAGGCCTGGGTTCGATTTCCGGCTCAGCCATGAAACCCACTGGGTGACCTTGAGCAAGTCACACACTCTCAGCCTCAGGGGAAGGCAATGGCAAACCTCCTCTGAACAAATCATGTCAATAAAAACCCCACAATAGGGTTGCCTTTCAGTTGTTGTGTGCCTTTGAATCATTTCCAACTTAGGGCAACCTTAAGGCAAACCTATCATGGGGGTTTCTTGGTAAGTTTCTTCAGCGGGAGGTTTGCCATGGCCATCCTCTGAGGCTGAGAGAGTGTGACTTGCCTAGGGTCACCCCTCCCAGTGGGTTTCGTGGCTGAATTGGGATTCATACTCTGTTCTCCAGAGTCATAGTCCAATGCTCAAACCACTACACTACGCTTAGGGTTTCCATAAATTGCCATAAGTCAGAAATGACTTGAAGGTACACAACAACAAACAAACAACAAATAATTGGGATACTAGTATACAGTGGGCCCTTGAAATCCGCTGAGGTTTGGTTCCAGGACTCCCTGTGGATACCAAAATCCATGGATGCTCAAGTCCCATTAAATGCCATGACATAGTAAGATGGTGTCCCTTATATAAAATGGCAAAATCAAGCTTTGCTTTTGGGAATTTATATATATATATATATATAAATATTTCCAAGCCGTGGATGGTTGAATCAGTGGGTAAGGAATCCGCAGATACAGAGGGGCTAACTGTATCAGGCTTTTTAAAAAAGAGAGCATTTCCTGAAACTGGGTAGGCTCTATCCTGATGCTCCAGCTTGGCACCATCCTTCTTGCATGGCAGGGATTTGGACTGGATGACCTTTGGATTCCCCCCTAGTATCAACTCTGTGATTCAATGCTTACATACATTGCCCTGGGTTTTCCTTTTGTCTCAGGCAGGGCTGCAAAAAACCCACAGCCCTCCCTGTGTTGCTTTAAATCTAAAGACAAAAACAAGAAGGCACATGGTGAGTCGCACCAACAATCCTGATCTGTCTCATCCATCATCCTATTTCTCTCACTAAGTGGCCAGTTGCTGCTGAGAAGAACCCAAAGGAGAGATGAAAAATGCAACAGAGACACCTTTTCCCATTGTTTTCCCCCCAAAAGTTATCCTGAAGGTAGCAGTTTTACAGCCATTCCCAAAAAGGATGCTGTGCAGATGGGCTGGACTACAGCACCCCTCATCCCCAGCCAGATCTCCTTTGAAAACCATCCAAACCAGCAGACAGACAGACAGACAGAGACACACACACACATGACATGTGTATATGTGTTAAAAGCAGCAACAAAACCTCCAAACCAATCTGCTCTGGTTCCCAAAAGGACATAGTTATTTACTCAGAACATAGTGACTAACAAAATGAAAATATGAACATTGTGTACAATGCATTTTGGCTTCCTGCTTCTTTGGCTGCGTGAATCATTTATGGATTGCCATTCTGGAATACATTACCAAGGATGATGATCATACCTTGCCTTTCCCCAAAACTGGAACACAAGATATATTCTATGTGTGTGTGTTATAATATCTGTGCATCCCTGAGTATATGTGTACATAGACTGTTGTTGTTGTTGTTGCTGTGTGCCTTCAAGTCATTTCCAATTTATGGCAATCCTAAAGTGCACCTATCATGAGGTTTTCTTGGCAAGATTTGCTCAGAGGAGGTTTGCCATTGCCTTACTCTGAGGCTGAGAGTGTGTGACTTGCCCAAGGTCACCCAGTCGGTTTTTATGGCCGAGCCAGGAATCGAACCCTGATCTCCATAGTCCAGTGCTCAAACCACTATGCCATGCTGGGTCTGTGTGCGTGTGTGTGTGTGTGTACATATATATGTACATATGTGTGTGTGTATATATATACAAATGTGTGTGTATATACAAATATGGTTATATAATTGTATTATACATACAGTAGAATAGTAGAGTAGAGTAGAATTATACATACACACACACACACGCACACTATATTGTTGTTGATGCTGCTGTTGGTGTAAACTACATTTTGGCTTCTTTCTTTGGCTGCCCTGAATCACTCTCTCAAGCCATATTATCTCTATCCAATTATTTTCCCTAGGCTACCTGGTTATAATGTGTGTGTGTATGGTTATGGAATAATAAAACTAATGGTTATAGAATACACACACACACTAACTATATATATAGTGTGTGTGTGTGTATTCTATAACCATTAGTTTTATTATTCCACATATATATATATATATATATAT